TAAAAAAGAAAATATTGATTAACACATTGTGTTGTTATAGGACATCTTTGGTTATATACTGATCATAGAAAAATTTGTTTCTTTATTCTTTATTTTTGCAAATAAAGAATCTATTTATGTTTTCTTTTTCTAAATCAACAAAAGTATATTAGCATTTATTTTATAAATATAAAGATTCTATTTACATTTATTATATAAAGTAAAATTAGATTAGCACCGCTAGTACCATCCACACAAAATACGCATACATGAAACTATGAAATGATATGAGACAATTATTAGTTGGAAAAAATACATGCAAAAGTGACGTATAAACAAAAATACGATTTTGAATTAGTCACTTCCTATAAATTGTATAAATACATTGTTTTCGAACATGACATATTGGTATTAGCAAATAAAAGGGATAAAAAAAGGTAGTGATTTTATGGATGAGTAATAGAAGAGATGCACAATAGTATAAATAGAAAGAAGAGACAAGTAAAATTAATAGACGTCGTTTATCAATCCATACTGAATCAGGTAGTATAAGATACTGAGAACATAAAATTCAACTGGATTTTTTTCTACTTGATTTATAAATAATTTCATATAGCCCCATAGTTTGCCTTTTGTATTACAGTTCTTTTTCAATCTAACTACTTATTTACTAGAAAGAAAACTGGAACAAAAAGTTGTGTAATGTTAGCAGCTGAGACTTTTTTCTATAGAAGTCGTATGCATTTTCAAAGAAAATGATGAATTTAAGCTTTTAATCAAAGCTTCATGAATCTTCTTCTCATTAAAAACTTTAGCAACGAAAATAACTAGTATTATACTTTCTAAAAATTTTCCTTTGAAAAGTCGATTAAGCTATAGTTTTGAAAGATAATCAAGATTATTGACTATGAGGCGATAAATATATGAATCAATGCAGAGGAATTGTTGTAGAAATGATGGATATATAAAACAGATTTATCGTTCATTTAAGGGAGTATATATAATAATAAGAAAACTAAATTAAGAAAATGAAAAGTAACAAGGGAAGTTCCCTCGTAGAAAAAAATATTTTTGATCGAAGTACAGAAATGATAACGTTTCTAAGTTTATTGACTAGGTGTGGATGTAGCTATGGGTGTTGGTGCAGGGAAGGATGTGTAGTTCTAGTGAAAACACTGAAAAACCGTGATCAGTGACACCGAACATGTACCACTGTGGTACCAATTACACTGACATTTGTGTCACTGATAAGTCAGTTTTACTGACATCGATTTCACCAAGAACACTAAAGAACTGTCGCAGTGTTTACTGGAATCCTGAATTTCTGCATATGTCAGAGCGCATATCTTTACCAATCTTAAAATTAATTTTTAATAGACTATAGCCAAATGAGAAAATACGAATGACACACTTGAAATATTTTCTAGTTTTGAAAAATTTCGGTGAACTTATCAATTAGATTAGTTTTGAAAATATTGTATTAAAATATTCAATTAGTATCTGAAAAGAAGAGGTAGTTTTCAAATAAATAACAGATGGATTCATTTGATGTCACATTTTTCTAGCGAGATCTATCTATTCAAACATAAGCGCAAAATATAATTTATGACAATGAGTCCATAGACTTCTTAGAATATACGGCTTCTATAACTTACAGTTTACTGTATAACATAAAGAAAAGTATAGCTTTATGCAAAGTGTGTTTCATTCTTATCTTCGTACATGAATCTATATAAGTTTATTAAGAAGAATAGCTTTTATTTGGAGCTAAGAGATAGTTATACCCGACGAAACAGAAGAAAGAAAGTGTACAATATTCTTTTCTCTTGTTCGACTGCTTAATATAACATATCCCATTAGACACTGGAAGTAGAAAGACGAAGGAGCTTGATATTTTTTTCTCTCTTCCAATTTTATAATCGGATACATCGAACGAGAGAACAAAAGTATGAAGTAGAATATGGTAAGCTTCGCTTAAGTATTGCAAGTTCATGATGGAAATGAATTACAAAGTAATTCAAGAAAATTAATTATAAAATAATTGATATTCTATTTATATGTTTCAACTAATTGACCAAGTACTACTAGGTAGCAGAGGGTATACCACTTACAACCAGGTACTGCTACCCTTCTTCGGTATTCTCATTTTATCATACAAACGGCATTTTGTGGATCAAGTAAGACCCACATGTAAGTGAGTTAGAAGAACGTGATTTTTTTTCTGTTTTGCGCTTGATACGGTGGATCAATGCTTGTATCATGATTTTTTAGGTTTGCACTCGTTAATATAGTTGTGATATGTAAAAATGAACATATTTTGAAAAACCGTTTTTGAAAGGAGATCATTATAAAATTACGGCTTTCAAATTTTATCGAATGAACAATGTATATAATTATAGATTGGATAGCGAATGTCATTATATATACAGTCACTCATACTAAAAGCCACAAAAATCTCGTTCTTGTGTATTTTTTATTGTTAAAAATCAATAAGAGAAAATAACATCAGTATGACACTAAAATTGTCTTCATTCTTCTTGTAAGTTCATGTGAATCAAGTTTCATGCTGTTAAATTATTTGTTCACATAATTGACAAATAAAACTAGTGAAGCTAGATGAATGAGATCTGCAGACATCGTTTTTGCAAATGTGGGTGTGGGTTCATCTTCGTCTTCGTGTTTCACCCACACCCACACCACTCTCACATCCTCTCTAGACAATAGAGGGCAAACGTAGTATGAATAAAAAATCATTTGTATAACATCAAAGACTTTTGTGCGAAATTCCATATGGCTCCTGTGAATCATCAGAAGACTAACGATTAGTGGAGAGATCGTTCCGAAAAGGGCAGATCTTTAAAAAGAAAAAAAACGAAAAACAACATCGTAGATCTCGCCGAACCCATAAAAACCGCAGAAGGGTTAACAACTTTGCATCATTTTGGAATTAATATTTTTTTTGAATTACTTTGTAATTCGTTTGCGTCGTCCAGTATAGTACCTGGTGGTTTCTGATTATCCCTTGTAGTACCCTCAAGTAACTGGTCAAGTAGTTATAACATATTACTAGAATTTGAATTATTTCATAATTCATTTTTTTTGAATTACAAAGTAATTCATTTCCGTCATCCAGTGGATCAATCCTAAAAGACAGATTATTGCGATGATGTGATCATACTCAATAGAAAATCGTTTTGAACTTCATGTCTTGCCTCCAGCTGTCATAGTGATCCGTTTAATTACTCTAAGCACTCAGAAGCTGTCGTTGTACCAGTGTTCCAGCGAATATCGATGTCGATGAGATCAATGCACCAAACTTCAATGTTGACTGATCTTCGGTACCTCAGTTAACATTGGAGCAGTTTTTCAGTGCTATCGATGAAATCAGTGTCAGTAGAACTGACGTATCGCTGACACTGATTTCAGTGTAGCCAGTGCTTCAGTGGTGCACTGAGTCTGTGTTGACAGTGATCGGTATATTGAAACTGTACATCTCTATTTGCAGGTGTCGGAGTGGCTGTTTGTGGCTACGACTGTAGCTATCCTCTTAAAATACCCGAATCCATCCACGGCTACATACACATTCTACATATCCGCACTCACACGCGCACGCACATATCCACATACCATTCTCACCCTCACTCGCCTTGTCAATTCCGTCCTATTCTTCTTCCATCTAAATCTCAAAATTCCATTCCAGAATTGGTCGCTTATCTTAGATCTTTATTTGTAACTGCAGAAGGTCTGCTAAGGGCGAGGATGTTATGGAATTCCAGAATAGAATGTAACTCCGATAATTCTAGAAATTGAAGAAACTCGATTTATTTCGAATAATGTGAGTCCGTTTGACGATTGGAAATTTGGGAATCGAATGGAGCTGATTTCGTGGACGGAATCGATTCTACAATGTACAATTTCGAGGAATAGGATGATGGCTTAGGACTGATATGTTTAAGTGGACTAAAGTGAATAAAGGCATTAATAGATTACGTATTATACAGGGTATCCAGCAAGTCATGATCACTAAAGATAGAGGTATGTTCACACTCCAAATTTATATGAGCGAGATTAGTAAGAACCTATGGTAAACATATTGTTTTCTTTTTCTATTTGTGAACAAGTAAAATTTTATTATTGAAATTAATAGTAGTATTTAACAAAGGTTCTCACTAAACTTGTCAGTATGGATTTAGAGTGTGAACATGCCTCTATCCTTGATAAAAAAATGAGCCTGTTTAGTCAAGGCATAACAGAGATATTCAATTTTTAGTGTGTCTGTTTCATAACGTACTGGACACTCTGTATGTCAAAATATAAAATTCTCTAGAAAAAAGTAGAACAGGATAACTTTTATTTCTTGTCGGCTTGTGCTTGTCTGATTGAAAGAAATTTTCCAAATGTTCACTCTTCTGATATTTTTCCTCATTGCTCTGTCTTTTTTGCACTATCTTTGAATTTGCCTATCGTGTTCGCATATACATTGCATCCATTGGAAAAATGAAGATAAATGTTTTACACGCGTCGGTTAGATCGAATTCGGCGTTAGAATTGATACTTTATGCTCGGTTTTCGTGAACACCTAGATAGTTTGTTGTCGACGTTTTCTTCTCACAATAGTTCGTATCAAATCAAAGATTTTCTGCATGCGTTTTTCCCGTTCGCCTCTCTATAATACACAACGATGAGTCATGATTAGTATGAAATGAACTTTTCTCGTTTTCACAATATTTATCCTCGAGAACTCGATAGGACTCTGCTTAAACCTTTCAATTTCAAGGTAATTATACAAGTAACGTAGTTGCTCTCTGGTTCATCGTCACTCAATAGCTCAATAGTTCATAAACACTACAAAAAATATCATTTCAGTCGTGATATATCAACTATTTATACGTTAATATTTTCCAGACTACAGTATTCATCATTGTAGAATTTAGTAGAATAGTAAATTTTGCTATTGGTGTGTTCATTTTGCAGTGATCAATAATTTATAAAATGATTTATTTTCAGAAAGCTTCTGCATAATGACTTACGCAGTATCGGCAACACATACTAAAGACTGTGAAAGTCTATTGTCAGCTGCAATATCGGCAATTATAGGTATCGACATACAGCCGTTCACTAAAAGTTTAGACTCGTCGTATAAAATTTCTCTATTTGATTATCATGATAAAATATACATAACAGGTGCAGTTGGTGACATATCATCAGCTGCAGGAGACCCAATAACACAGATGACAGGTGATGGGAAAAATATTTCTCCGTTCTCAGTTACACCAGATGGGATGTGGTTTTCAAAAAAAGTTCCACAAATTCTCAGTAAATCGATTCAGACAATTATAAAGTCATTAACTGGCAAGCTTATTAGGTTGAAAATGCTTCCAAATAAAGCTATGGATGAAGTCAAAACTGAATTACAAGACGTGGGAGACATACGTGTCGAACAGCAACATCTAATATTTACTGGAGAACAGTTAGAAGATGATAGAACATCAGCTTATTATAAAATACCCAAGGAATCCACAGTACATCTAGAGCTCCACTTGCGAAGTGAGCATCATGTAGCAATTCTAGATCCATCGACTATTGATCCAATTTACGATTATGATTTTACGAATATAAAAGATACAAACAACAAATTTACACGAGGTGGAAAAAAATATGTTCGTCCTTGTGGATGGAAACGGTATGCCATTAAAGTATCGGATAAATATGAAGACTTAAGATGGTTAGGTCAAATCAACGGTCCAGGTGAATGGCCTGTATCATATCATGGAACTGGTCAAAATGGAGCTAGTACTATTGCAATGGATGGTTTTTATTTATCAAAAGGGAAAAAGTTTGCATTTGGGCACGGAGTATATTCAACTCCAGATATAACTATAGCAACAAAATATGCTAAAAAGTTCTCGTTCAAAGATGAAAATTATCTAGTTCTATTACAAAATCGTGTTAATCCAACAACATTGGTGAAAATATCATCTGATAGAACTGGTGTAGGTGAATATTGGGTTAGTCCTAGTTACAAAGATATTCGTGCATATGGAATTTGCATTCGAAAATTATAAGTTTTATACAAACAGTTAAGAATAACTTAATACGATAATCATGATAAGTTTGCTATACTTGTGTATTTTTATTTTTATTCATTTCAAATAAACAGGAAGAAAATAGTTTTGTTTTGATAAATGTAACATGTCACTATCCTTCGTTAGGAAAAAGACACTGATCAGTTATAACTAAAGAACCTATGAGTTTTTGTGTCACAAAAGCAAAAAAAGCTTCACTAATTATCGAATACCGATGAGCTCAATTAAAAATCGTGCATAGTTTCTGTGAATCCTTAAAACACAGTTGCATGTGGATGGGTGTGGGTGTGGGTGTTTGTTACACCCACACCCACATGATTCTCTATCCTTGTAAGGTACTTGCCTCAAGGAAATGATGCTAGTGGGGAAAGAATCATTTTGAATATGTCTTCCTTCAGTTTGGCAATGGACGAGCACCGATCTTTCTATGTCTTTGACAAGGACAAACATAAAGTAAGACGATACAAAATTGGTTACACTGAAGGAACAATGGTCTCTGGTGGCAATGGAAAAAGAAATCGCCTGGATCAACTTTCCGAACTACACTACGTATTTGTCGATCGAGATCATTCAGTATATGTGTCAGATATTCACAATCAACGTGTAATGAAATGGGAAGAAGGTGCAAGACAAGGTATTGTGGTTGATGGCCAAGGAGAAGGAGAAAGTCTTACAGATTTGCCATCTCCTAAAGGAGTCGTTGTCGATTAATTGGGCACAATCTATGCCACTGATTGACAGAATCGTCGAATCGTGCGTTGACCAAAAAAAGCCGTACAAGGAAGTCTCATCGCAACTGGAACTCATGAATGAGCACAGTCCAATCAAGTCTCTAGTCCTGTAGGCTTACCGTTCGATCGAGCTGGTAATCTATATGCCGTTGAAAATGGAAACTTTTGAGTACAAAAATCTAATATCCAGTGAATTCAATCAGTATGATTTTTATTTCCCTCTTTTTCTCTTTCAAATAGATCGAGATTGAACGGAAAACAAAATGAAAGCTTTTTATTCTCGCACAGGCGCACACATGTGGCATGTTACCATGTTGAATGTGAGTGTGGGTGTTGTTCACACCTACTCACCTAAACAGTCAGACATGTCAGACACACACTCACATTCATCCTCACTGTAAACGTTTGGAATAGTATGATTTTCAAATAAACATATGCGGAAATTATCATCTTTTTGTATGAATGAAGGTTGAACTCGATGAGTTTTGATCATTGACCAGCTATCAACGTCACAATGGAATATGTTTTATATTGAAATGGGCGCTAATTTATTGTCATTGTTGATATCAGCACGCTGTCTCTGTTCATTATTTAATGATTGTATTGGTGTCTGATATTGTTCAACAATACCAGCATTGATAACAATAATTTGATCACTATCCATAATTGTATTTAAACGATGTGCAATTGTTAATACAGTTTGATTAATAAATTTTTCACGCAGAATTTTTTGAATTAATTCATCAGTCTTAGTATCAATATGTGCTGTTGCTTCATCAATAAGTAAAATTTTACTCTGTTTTAGAATTGCCCGTGCTATGCATATCAATTGACATTCTCCAACGCTAAAATTGGTTCCATATTCTGCTATTTGTATATTTAATTTATCTTTTAAATTGCTAATTTTTGTTTTCAATTGAACAGATTCTAATACATTCCATAGTTGTTCATCAGTATAACAATTGAATGGATCCAGATTATATCGAAGTGTATTACTGAATAATATGGGAGACTGTGGAATAATATTTAAAATTGACCTTAAGTCATTTAAACTAATTGTACTTATATCAATTCCATCAATTAAAATTTTTCCCTCTGTTACTGATTTATCAGTTAATCGAAACAGTGCTTGGAAAATCGATGATTTACCAGCTCCTGTACGTCCCATAATACCGATTTTATTTTTTGGAGCAATTGTTAAATTTATACCTTTTAAAACAGGTTCAAGTTCTAGACTATATCTTAATTTATAATTTTGAAATTCAATTTTTCCCTCTAATGGCCAATTAATTGGTGGTTCAGATTGTCCTTTATAAAATTCTGATTCTGCAGCAATACGAGAATATTCATCAATTCTTTCAGCACTAGTCATATAGTTTTCAGTTTCAGCTGATTGTCGTACTCCCCATTGAAAAAGAGCAGTTAAACTTATACAATATGATAGACCTAATGCTACAGATGATGAATCCATATTTGTACGTAAAGTAATAGATAAAATTGCTGTTAAAAATGTTAAGCAACAAGTCAATAGATCTAATCTTAATCCAAACCATCTACCTGAACAATGGAATATAAAAAATGCACGCAAATTTGCATTAACTTTATTGATAAATAAATTTACGAAATCATTTTCCATATTAAACGCTCTGATTGTAATTAATCCACTTAATGATGAAGAAAATAATGCGTATATAGGACTTCTTGTTATACTTTCTAATTGTTTAAGATGCCTACTCGTTCTCAAATAAAATCGTCTTAACCATAAAAGTATTGGAATAATAGGTATTAATATTAATAAAACCCATGGATTTCCCATACCAATAATAACAATACTACCTAATACCATTATTAATGATTGAATTGTATCAAAAAATGTTGTTGGTAATAATTCATCAATAACTTGTTGATCTTTGCTAAATCTATTTAATATACGACCAATTGGATTAGATTCATAAAATCTTAGTGTACTGTATAAAACACCTTGAAGCATTTTGTTATGCAATACAGATGCGCCAGATAATATCAAATGAAAAAAATAATCAGCACGAATCAATGCAATGATCATTGTACCGACTACTAATCCTAAATATACATATGGATAATGCTTTTTACGTTGCTCTATTTCCAATTTTGATGACCATAAACTTAACCATTTATTCGTTGCATCATAAACAATTTCGCCCAATAACATTAAAAATATTAATAGAAATAATCCAATCCAACCATTGCTTGAAATAAATAGTTTCAACAAAATATTGATACTAACTGTTCCACCAACAGATGTTTCTTCATCGACAATACTCATTTCATCTATACTTTTGGATTGATTAGTAGAAACATACACATTAACATCATTTTGTTGCTTAATTTCTCTTATTTCATGGGCATGGTATTGTTGATTTTCATAGGATTCTTTTATTTTATCTATTGTTAATAAGTTATTAAATGATCCTTGCTTTTCTATTTTACCATGATCTAATAGAATACAATGATCAAATTCCGGTAAAAATTGCATTTGATGTGTGACTAACAATCGTGTTTTTTTATTTAAAATTCCTTCATTACCAATACATTCTTTAAAAATTTTTCTGGCAACAATAGGATCAACTGCTGCTAGTGGATCATCAAATAAATAAATATCAGCTTCAGTGTATAAAGCTCGTGCAAGCGATAGACGAGCTTTTTGTCCTCCACTCAAATTTACACCTTTTTCACTAATTACTGTTGAATCACCAGCCGTAAATGACCGTAAATCAGCAATTAACTGGCATGATTTTAACACTCGTTCATATTTCTCTTGATCAAAGACTTTACAAAATAATATATTTTCACGTATTGTACCAGCAAACATCCATGGAGTTTGAGATACATATGCTATTTTACCACATACTTTACTATTACCATTAAGAAGAGACATTTCACCGAGTATAGCTGCCAAAAGAGATGATTTAGATGATCCAGTTGGTCCTATAATACCAACTAATGAACCACTATTTACATTCAAATCAATGTTGATTAGTTCAGCTGATTGAGTGGAATTCCATGTAAATGAAGCTCTATCCATCATTATACTGCCTGGTATATAATGATGGTCGTTGTTAGAACATTCTCGGAATGTTTTTGTACGAATCTGTTTAGATAAATTCAAGAATTGATTGATGGATCTAGAAGCTATTATACTTTCACTTAATTTCTCAATACCATAAGGTAATAGATCTGTTAAAGGATATCGTATTATACTGAATAACGATAAAACTGTGAATATATTTGTAGGAGATAATGTTTGATCCATCAACCAGCTTCCTCCAAACGTGGCTAATGAAATCAATGATAATGATAAAAAGAAGATACCCATATTAATAGCTCTAATTCGACTTGCTTTTCGGATACTTCTATATTCATTTTTTCTTGCATTATAAATTACAGCTTCCAATGCTTCTTCCCATCTATACATTTTAACTATTTGACAACCAACCAAGATTTCATTGATAACTTTAATACGTTGATCGCTCCATTGAACAGTATTTTTTCTATACGCTCCAAATTTTTTGCTAAATAACAATTGTAATGGTACTAAAAGTAACAATACACCGTAACCAAATAAGGTCGGAATACCAATTTCATTCCAAATTAAACCAAACACAATGAATGCTTCCAAAGGTGCTGCCCATATATGATGAATACTAAGGCTTAATTCTTCAAATTTACTTACATCGTTTGAAATTAAATTTATAACTTGACCTGTTGTCGTTTTCATAATTGCTCTTGCTGGTAATGATAATAGTTTCTTATAAATAATAGATGAAAGTGCAATGCGTGTATGAGTACCAACTCGTATAGTACGAAAAAAAAATTGTTGATGAATAATTGCTTGAATCATTGTCGACAGACCTAGTCCAATAGCATATAAATAACCAGTGTATGAAGCTACACTGGGGTCATTTATACTACGAACGATGTATTTTAAGAACAATGGTTGAGCTATTTGAGTAGCAATATATGGAAATAAAATTAGACCAGCTATAAGACACTCTTTCCAAAATGTTTTCGCAATTAACTTCCATATATTAATGTATTCATATTTATTTTCGTTTTGTTCCCATACTGTTTCAAGTTTCTTCAATAACTGACCACATTCATCATTGGATGATAATTCAAATAAATCATTTTCAGTTAGTTGACGTTTATAACCAATATTTAAAATTGGATTTAACCACGACCAAAATGCAACATGAATCCATCGTATCCATGATGACTCAGCCCAATCTAAACCAGACACATTTCGATGGCTAGAAAATATTGGAATAGAAGTTGCATTTCTATTTGATACTCTTGCTGTTGGTATGTTACTATTATCAGTCATATTCTTTTATGATGAAAGATAAGAATAGTATATAGAGTTTATCAATTATAACAATATTAATAATTAAAATATACAATGTGAGCCACGAGATGTTTCTACAATTGAGAAAGGAAAAGCAAAAGAAAAATGTATTTATAGCTTTGTTTATTAGAACACTTCGAAAAACATTAATGAAAATTTCGATTAGTCCTGTAAAATTATTTGAGCGAATGCTTGAAGTTGATTGAGTAACTGTTAAAATTGAAAAGAAACATTATAATTATTAAGAATTTTTCCAAAAAGTGTTTGACATAGTTGCTTACAGATATATTTGCAAGTTTAAAAACTTATTTCGAATTCTTACACAAAGAAATAGTTCTATCAGTAGAAATTTTGATTCACTAGAGTAATTTCCAATCATTAGTGGGATAACATAACAAGATAGGAGTAACACAATCTACATATAATTTTATTGAAATTACAAATATTTTATGATTTAATGGATTGTTCACAAAGTCATTTGCCTACTTCGCGTAATAAGTGGTATTCCATCGATCATATTAATCAAAAAGAGAAGCTATAAGCATATTCACATTCTCACATAACATGCTCAAATCTGAAATTCCAGCCTTGCTATATCTACAAGTCATCCAACTGACTTTGAAGTAAAATGGAATGCTTCTTATTCGTTTAATTTTATACATTTAATGAAAAAAATGTTAGATACATCACCCATGACCACTGCAAATTAATCCTTAACTTTATATCCAGCTTTCGAAAGCATGATTGCTTACAATCTTCTCGTGTGATCTCTACTAGAGTTTGACAGCATTAATAGCAGTATTCTAAACTTCTAACGAATCATTCATAAGTCACAATACTTGAATCTGTCGCGCCTCCATATCAGCAAGTGTCAAGTTTATTATATGATCTGCAGCCTTTTCGTAATGTAAAACAAAAGCATGTTTTCCTCTGTATGTACAGGAAACAAATGAGCAATATCATGATCATTGAAATGTTCAAACATATGT